TGCCCTCTCCCAAGCTCGGGAGCACCAGCTCGCCTCTGCTTCGGAGCCCCCCTTGGGCTCTCGGCCTGCCCCTCAGCCCCCAGTACCCCGTCCAGAGCACTGTGAGGGAGCTGCAGCAGGGCTCAAGGCAGTCCAGGGGCCGCCCCCTCCTGCTGTGCCTCCAAATGCAGATGTCGTGGCCTGCACACAAGAGGCTCTCCTGCAGAAACTGACCTGGGCCTCAGCTGAGCTGGGCTCTAGCACCTCCCTGGAGACTAGCATCCAGCTGTGTAGCCTTATCCGGGCTTGTGCTGAAGCTCTGCGTAGCCTGCAGCAGCTGCAACACTAAAGAACCCCTCCTGAGAAAATCCCTGTAGAAAAACAGCTTTTCCTCCTGTGTGATTTTTTTCTTTTCTTGGTTCTGAGTGTGCATGTAAGCCCCAGCTCTGCTCGTCTTTTTCCTACTTTTGGCTTCTCATGCTATCACAGTCTGGTCTCCTTGATGCCCTGAGAGATGAGTTGGGCTTGTTTCTGCTCAGTTTCCCCACTCAAAGGATGAGGCGGGAGAGGACTATGTGATACTTTTATTCTGATGAGGAGGCCACAGCCTCCTCAAAAGCAGAAACAGGCGTCGATCTCTAAAGGAACCCTGCAACCTCCTCAGCCATCCAGTGCTCATTCCCCATCCTTGAGTGAGATTTGGGGTTCCAGTCCCCTTGGTAGCTTCCCCTCCTTCCCCCGAGGATCCCGACACCATCATCCTGTCCCACCTCAGGCCCAGACCAGGTACTCAGATACTGACAGGGTGTCAGTCAATTAGGGATCAATTATGGACTTACCCTCAGTCTCCTGGCCGCCACCCACCCCCCTTTTTAGATCCTGGAGAGTTATAATAAGGCAGAATAAATAATTAAAGTGTTGTGTTTGGGGGTGGAGAACCGTGAAAGAACCGCACGCTCCGCTTTTGCCCTCTTACCCCTTTTTCCTGCTCCCCTTCTATTGGTGGCCAATCACCTGTTCTCTGCTGTCTGCGACCTGGGGCAACGTGGTCGCATCAGCCGTTGCCCTTTTAAGAGAGGCCCTGCCCACACGGAGGGGTGGGCAGGGGGCGGAGTCGGAGGAATCGGGTAGGAACAAAGCACTCCCTGCGGGCGGTGGCTGGGCTCGGCTGGCGGGGCCGCGGGGTGCGGGGCCTGCGGGCGGCAGCCCGGGCGGAGCGTTGGAGGGAAGGAGGCGGCATCATCCTCTGCCGGTCCGGCCATGAATGGGCTGCCTTCGGCCGAGGCGCCAGGCGGCGCGGGCTGCGCCCTGACCGGTCTTCCGCCGTTACCGCGCGGCCTCAGCGGTCTTCTCAACGCGAGCGGGGGCTCGTGGAGGGAGCTGGAGCGCGTCTACAGCCAGCGCAGCCGCATCCACGATGAGCTGAGCCGGGCCGCCCGCGTACCGGACGGGCCCCGTAAAGCCGCCGGCGCCGCCAACGCGGGAACTGCCGCGGGTCCCCCCGGCCCGCGTCGCCCTGTTAACCTCGACTCGGCGCTAGCGGCGCTGCGCAAGGAGATGGTGAGTAGCCCTGCCTCGGTCAGCTGGGCGTTGCGGGGTGATGGGGGCTGCCGCCGAGCTTGAGGGTCCTGGAGCGGGGCGGAGTACATAAGGCAGCGCGCTATCTGGGTCTAGAGGATTGGCAGAAACCGGTTGGGGCAGAGGGGATATGGTAACAATAATTAGTTACCGTTTATGGTAATAGTTACTATGTATTTTAAAATGCCTTACTAGTGTTATTTCATTCTATTCTGCTAGATAAATGTTGTCCCCGTCTTGCAGATAAGGGTCAGTGGCTTGCCTAAAGATTCAAAGCTTGTAGATGGCATCTGATGTCCACAAAAACCTGTGCTTGGGAAGACTAGCTAGGGGGGTGGCTTCGACCCGAACTCCAGCCCACTCTCAGTCTTTTGCAGGTGGGCCTGCGGCAGCTGGACATGTCCCTGCTGTGCCAGCTGTGGGGCCTGTATGAGTCGATCCAGGACTATAAGCACCTGTGCCAAGACTTGAGCCTGTGCCAGGACCTGTCATCCTCCCTGCATTCAGACAGTTCCTACCCACCTGATGCTGGCCTATCTGATGATGACGAGCCTCCTGATGCTAGCCTGCCCCCAGACCCGCCACCCCTCACTGTGCCCCAGACGCACAATGCCCGAGACCAGTGGCTGCAGGATGCCTTCCACATCAGCCTCTGAAGAGCTAGGGTGGTAGGGGGCATGTACCCATGCAAAAGGCTCAGAAACTCACCCCTCAGCAAGTATTCAGACTATAGTGCCTGCTTTCCCCCATACCACCTCACCTCACAGGAGGAGGGCAAGGCCTGGGCCCCTTGGGGGCAAAACTGCCTACCCTCTCTCTCCTGTCTTGGGTTAACTGGCACTGGGGCAGGTACCTGGGCTACAGCCTCTGCCCATGGCACTGGACCTCCACTTCTCCCACATGTGTGTACTCCAGCTTGGCCGACCTTCAGTCTGGCAATGGGGTCCAAAGCATCTAGCACTCCCCTTGGCATCTCTGTGACTGGGATGAGTGCCTGACTCCTATCTCTTCACCTTTTGCTGCTATTGGCAGCTGCTGCCTCAGGGGCATCCCACCTCTGGTCCCTGGGTTCCACGGCCCTAGACAAGGGCTCTCCAGGACCCATTCCTGCACCACCACGGCCGGGAGGGCCAAGGCTCCGCGCTGGATATTTAAGTTTAGGGGCCAGCCTCCTGGGCACATAGATAAATAAATAACTGTCTCAGCATTGTTGTGTTCTGACTGCCTGGCTCAGGGGCGGGAAGATAAGCGGTGATTCTGTAAAGTGCTGCCCCGCGCTCCGCCAGCAGGTGGTGCCCGAGACCCCGAGTTGGAAGAGGCTCGGCGGTGCCAGGGTGCGAACCCTCGCTCCCCGGGCAGAGTCGCCGATCTGCCGATCGTTCCAAGCTGCCCCAGCTTGGTCCCGCGGTTGGTTGTGTGAGTGCGGGCGAGTCACTTCCCCTCTCTGGCCGGAGGCCTGGAGCTCAACGCCCCTCCCCACTCGCTTTGGGCTTTCCTGGCCGGCCGGGAAGGAAAGAGAAGGAGCCGCCCTTCTCGAGGAGAGAAACTTTCCACCCCGAGTGGGGGCGGGGTTGGGGCGGCACAGGAAATGGGTGGGCCTGGGCTGGCGGGCCGGGCCGAGGGGCCCTAGGCGAGACAGGGGAGGGCGCCTCCTGGAAGGGCCTGGGACGAGTGAGTGACCTATGGGCGGGCGGAAAGAGTTGCAGAGGCAGAAGGGGGGTGAAGTCGCAATGCTCCAGGCCTCCCCAGAGGCCAGACAAGCCCCGGAGGGGAGATGGGGGCAAGCCTCTGGGCTTGGATGCATGAGACTCCCAGCGGCGCCAACACCCGCATTCTATGCCTGGCTTCCCCTCAACAGCACCTGGGACCTTCAGGGTTGTATGTAAAAGGCTTTCTCTTACAGAGGAAACGGAGAACCGCGATGCTGGGTCTAGGAGCTAAACCCGGTGTCAGGTTCCCTCCCCTCCCCCAAAGAAGCCTGAACATTTGCGAATGGTGGGTGCTAAGGCTTCCACACACACGCACAATACCCCACAGCTTCCTGAAACGAAGAGGAGAGGAGAGGACCTCAAAGTTGCGCACTTAGGCTTACCGGCCGCTCATCCCCATGCCTCCTGGACACAACTCAACTGACACTCCTGGCAGATCAGACGTCCTGTTCAAACCGAGTATTTATCAAGGACCAGGCTTCTGTCCATTCACAAACCTAGCAGAGCGTTCACACTGGCAGACGGAACAGGCTGATGTGCTGCTCTATGGCAGTTCTTGTAACTCTGCGCCTGACACCTGCAGCGGCTCATTACCAAGCAGGCAGCCGGGCGGGCTGGCGATAAGGACTCTAATCTAGGTGTGAACAGAGCGGTTAACGCCCCAGGGCAGGCTTCCCAGGGGAGGGAGAGTAAACACACCCTCTTTCCCGTCCACGATAACGGATTTCATTTAATAAAACCGGCAAAATCAGCCAGGTTCTACACTAAATGCTTTCCAAGGTTTTATTCTCAATGATGTTGTAAAAGATGGAACTATAATTATCCCTATTTCACTGAGGTGAAAACTGAGGCTCAGAGCGTTAGTACTTTGCCCAAGGTCACACGCTTGTTGGAAGTCATCTGCTTGTGGGATGTTGGGACCACCTTCCCACTTGACAGCTGGAGAGTCAGGTTCTGAAACCGGCAAGTGGGTGCTGCCCACAGGTAGGGCTACCCGGGTTGGCCCCTGACCCTGCTCCTTCCTGCTCTGGTTAACTCGTGGGTGGCAG